AAACACACACACACACACAACACACACACACACACACACACACACACGACACACACATGGATCTGGTGGTACAACTGGCCAGTGTATGACAATGGTGAGATTGGTCTAGGGTTGCTCTGTTCATCAGAATGTAGGCAACATTAGGTCTTACGTTATGTATTGTTGAAAGACAAGTGGGGCATTTGTCTAAAGAAAGGGTACCAAATGACGGTCTATATTTTCATCTCTGTAACGAGCCTCTGTCAGTATCCCGTTGAGTCCTCTTAGACCTGATTTTGTGAATTTGAAAATTGGGGTGCTTAACTTGAGATGAATTTCTTCGCAAAAAAGAATAATTAAATAAAATTTACATATCTTCGTGAATTTTTCTTTGATGTATCTGTACTTTAGAAAAGAAAAATGGTTTATTTACTGAAAATTCGTTTGAGAGTAGATTTTTTAAAACTTTGCCTGCACTCTTTCTTTTTCCTTATGTATTTGCTGTGCTGTGTTAAAACCATCTTCATGCTATTCACAGTTAAGAAAAAATAGAGACTAATTCAACAAATGTTAAGCCTTTTTTATATGAATTTTCCCCAGAGCGCAATGTCCGGCATCTTGAGCGGAAAGTTACCCAGAAAGATACGAGACTTGACACTCGTTTTTCAGGATGTGAAGAAAGTGGGAAAGGGGTGTCAGTCGCCCTCTGTTTGCCGTGAGCGATGTGTCATTCTTTGCCCAGTGATCATTGCGTTAAAAAAAAAACGCAGAAAGAAACAGAGGAGGACCAGCGACAGGCTCAAGGCAAAGTGATTCATTCTTGCATTGATTTCCAAGAAAAGGAAAGGGCTCACGGTCCGTGTGAAAGCATTGCGTCCTCTGAACAGGATATCAGGTGGATGTACAATGTAATAAGGCTTGTTTTGGGTGGCCAGCTGAGTAAGTTCACGTACTCGACGTAAACATTCGCGATCAGGAACCTGTATATATATAAAGAACGACTTTTCGATACCATCTGGAACTTGCTGTTGTCTCTGTTGGTATAAGGTGAGCCTCTGAATAACCAGGGTCATATCTATAATAACTTAGTTGAACGTGCGCTGTCACAGTTGTAAGTCTAGTGTGTACCCCAAAGGTAGTTAATGTATTTCGCAAGCCAACTCATTGTTAAAATTACCCTTGTGTTGCAGCAGTATTGTTTTTATGTGCATCCCTCGTGCCATATGTCAAAAATTTGATTCTTAAAGGATTTGTTTTGTTTTATTTTATTTAGAAAAGGGGATCTTATTCTTTCTTTTTCTTTTACAACTTTTGTTCCCTCTCGATGTCTAGCTTTTAAAAAATTTGGTCACCTGTACCAGAAAGAAACAGAAAGTGAACGTAAAGGACTGATGTTGAATGTGAAGAAAACAGAATGCATAGTAACGTCTAAAAAAGCAGCAAATCCTATTCGCAATCTCATTAGCAAAGGCGAAAAGATCAAACAATTCCACCAGTTTGAATATCTAGGGTATATAATAACATCTGATACCAAATGTTCCACAGAAATAGAACGGATAATTGCAATGGCTACGGCCACTTTCAATAAAATGATCCCAATCTTGAAAAATAGAAACGTCCCAATGACTGCCAAAATGAAAGTCTGAAATGCTATGTATGGTCAACCCTTCTATACGGCTGTGAATGCTGGACAATCACAAAAGACAGTGAAAATTAAATAGAAGCAACAGAAGTGTGATTTCTTTGGAGACTGCCGAGAACATCGTGGGAGAAAAAGAAATCAAATGAGGTAGTGTTTAATGAGGCCCACTGTTTAAAAACTATCAGGAAACGACAAATGCAGTTTTTGGAACACCTGAATAGACATTAAGGTATTGAACATTTAGCTCTCACTGGCAAAATCGAAAACAAACGAGGCAGGGGCATGCCTAACGCAACCTACTCAGGAAAGCTAAACAAATGGGTAACGGGGAAAGATCAAGAAAACGTAGCTTTTTTAAGAGCATTCTAGCAAAGGAATGAATGGAGAACCATGATCGCCGAGGTCTGTCACAGATCTGGCACTAGGTGATGATGTACCACCAGCAGTAACTGTGATGTTCCATAGAGTGTGTTGTCCATGTTTTTTATTTATATTTTTTAAATATTTTTTAAATATTATTTTTATTTTTTTTTTGGGGGGGGGGGGGATGAGTGTTAAACGGCGCTCGCAACTGCCTGAGGTCATTAGAGCGCGCGGGATGCATTTAACATTTTCAGTTGGTTGGAAACTTTGAATTTTGCCTAAGTGGCGGCCGAAGCACACTCTTTTATCGATTTTGGACCACCAAGGAATCTTTAATGTGGGCAACTTATACACGGGGCGTCCGAGATTTTTCACCCTTGTCCGAGTAGGCTAGATTTTTCCTACCATAAGATCTGGGATGTGGCTGAAAGACAGCAGTAAGAACGGGCCAAGGAGTAACAGTAGAAAGGCTGCAGAAAGAGTCAGGAACCCAGAGGAGGGGGTAAAGTTGGTGAGCGGATGGGGGTAGAAAGTGGAGACGAATGTAGACGACAGAATATTGTTAGAGAGCAAGAAAGGATGTGAAAGAAGAAAATTTTAGAGTGGAAAATTTTCCGTCACTATCCAGATTCGACAAGACGAATGAGAGGCGAACACATTAACCTCTAGACCATGAGAGCCCCAGTTGTCAATATTTGGTTTCGGGGGTAGAAATGTAGCTGTGAAAATATGTCATTTAGGGTTGAGCAGTGGAACAAGTGATTATCAACAGCCCAATAATTATTATGTGTAGTCCCTCAAAGTACACATTGGGAAAGCTCTGGTTTTATTTTGTTTAAGTGGACGTTGAGCTGCATAATAATAATATGTCCAGTTCGCACACGGAACATTGTGGTCTGTTCCTTTCTCTGGAGGTCGTTGGTGTTGTCATTTATTCGTTTGTTGTTGTCACATGTTTAAACATTGCCCTGCCTGTCTTTCCCAAGGCCTATCTTCCTCCAATCTTGTTTATTGTTTCATTTGATGAAATGTTTTGCAGTGTGGTGTGAAGTTGGAGTGTTAGGCTGTTCATGTCTTTTGGCAAGTGCAATGGCTGTCATTTCTAGGTGTGTTTGAGTTTGAGTGTTCGGGAATTCACTGCTTCACCAGGTTGATACCAAAGGATGTTTTGATTGTTATTTTTTTTTTATCATAGTTGCTAGATCTACATTCCTCCCCTTAGGCTGCACGAATTTCATTTGAACTTCCCTTGAAATTGTACGAATTACAGATTTTATTCTACTACAATAAGTGACTAGTTTAATAAGTTCAGGTGGTAAGACCCAAACAGTACATGAGTCAGATATACGTTCTAATGACAGTTATTTTCTTTTCTACTTCTTGCAGGACGGTAAAAAAATCACAATACTCTGTGCTTTTTGCAGAATGAGAGTCAAAAACTGCGCGCAGAATACACAATACTGTTTTGATTGCTATCTTTTCTGAATCATAGTTGCTACATTCCTCCCATAGGCTGCTCGGATTTCATTGGAACTTCCCTGGAAACTGTACGAATTACAGATTTAATTCGACAACAATAAATGACTAGTTTAATAAGTTCAGGTCGATCTTCTTTTTCATCACTAAAAAAGTCGTCAGCAGCAAGTCAAGACGGTCAAGGAATGGCAATTTAATTGTCATTTTGTGGCTTCATTCTTTCAAAGAAAATTTCCTTTTGCTAAGAAAATAAACTTTTTTGGTTTTATTCTCACTTTTCTAATGACCTTTGGGCCTCAGGCACTTCTGCAGATATTTAGGTGAACAGCGATTTGCGCTTTATTGGCTGCTCATGGGGTTTTTTGGGGGGGGTTTTTGGGGGTGCTTTTTTTTTGGGGGGGGGGGGTTCTAAGTGGGTTGGGGTGGGAGGAGGGGCATAGTGACAGACCATTGCGTCCCTAGCAAACTACTCAAGCAAAGACGCAAAATCCGAAAAACAACCACAACGATGCACACGTCCAGGTCAAGGGCAAACTATACAAATTACGAGGTTCGCGTGGCTGAACTCACATCCCAGTCTCGTAGCACGTGAGAAAAAGCAGTAATCAAAGTACAAAAAAACCCCAACAAAAAATTACGGTAACCACAATAATTGGGTCCCTACAATACACATTTTTAAAAGAAAAACATAAACAAAGAACAAAAATAAACAGAACAGTCTTTCTATGTCGTAGTTATTATTTATGACATGTGTCTCATTTGGTCATCAAGATTCCCTTTAACTTCAACTGTCAACTGATCCTGCGAGATGTTCTCCTCCCTGCGGCTGTTGGTTATGTGTGTGGTTCTCGCCGCCTTCGTACATCACACACAGGCTTGGTGGTGGTTAGGAAGATGGTGGTATGGTTACAGAGATGTTGCTCCTCCGTAAGTTTTTGTGTATGTGTGTGTGTTTGGTTGTAGTTGTTGCTGCTGTTGTTGTTGCTGCAGTTGTTGCTGTTGTTGTTGTTGTTGATGATGATGATGATGAGGCAATGATGCTTTTGTTGTTGTTGTTCTTTGTTATTGATGGTGATGTTGTTGTTGTTGTTGTTGTTGTTGTTGTTGTTGTTGTTGTTGTTGTTGTTGTTGTTGTTTCGTTTTGTTTTGTCCTGGTTTTTTAAAAATACGATTAGTTGTTTTTCGTTGTTGCTATTGTTGTTTCGTAAACGCATAATGTTTTAGACGACACATGCGGTTTGTTTTCAAATTTCTCAGCAGCTATTGTTGGATATGCATTTTTCTTAAAGTGTATTCTGCATCAAGGGGTCCCTTTCTACATGCCGTGCAGTAAAATGGAGAAACCACACCGTGGGGAAAATTTGTACAATTCATGCAGCCTGATTGACAGCACATTACAGAATTGGAATACATTGTCAATGTAATTCTGTTCCAAAAGCCAAATGCAAAGTTCATGTTGGACAGGATATGGTGTGGAGTTAAAAAGAACTCGTCGAACTCTTTAGGTTTTGAATCTGATTTCAACCCCGTCGCTTGCAAAGTCCTTCTGCTTACCTTACACTTAGCCGCAGTGCTTACAAAGCTTTAAAAAATATATAGCGTACCCATTCGTCATTCATATGACGTCTTGCTATGTTATGTAAACAAAGTTCGCTTGTTTTGAATCCGGATCCAATGGGTGAAAGTTGTCGTTTTTTCGCCCAAGGGCATCCTGCCCCGAACCCCTGCTCTCCACTTTTACCCCCCCCCCCCCCCCCCCCAACAACAACAAAACAAAACAAACCCCAAACAAAACAAAACAAAAACAGGATTGAAATTAGCCTTCTAAACAGGTTTTTAAAAAGCCACCTCTAACCCTTTTAACAAAGGAACCCAGTTAGCATTAATCTCCCCCCCCCCTCCCAATCCCCACCACCACTCGCAGCCGTCGACTGCAAAAAGAAAAGAAATAAATTATCGGCGACTGGGCTTTACCTACTAATGTGTGTTGCTTCTCAACATTTCCCTTTTTTTCGGTTAGTGTTTTAGGGGCGGTGGCAACTGCATAAGGTCATATGAGCGCGCTTTTCCTTTTCTTAAAGGAACAATCGTAAATGCAAGTTTTGTGTGTCCCGACAGATGTTTATCATAATACTGGTTGTTGATGTCGTTGTTGTTGTTGTTGTTGTTGTTGTTGTTGTTGTTTTAACATTGTTGTTGCAATGGTTTTTGATGGTGGTGATGGTGGTGGTGGTGGTGGTTCGGTGATGACACGGCTGCTGCTGTTGCTGATGGTGAAGATGATGGTGATGATGATGGTAGTTGCACTGGTAGCAAAATCAAAATAATATCACCCCTCCCCTATTTTTCCTTCCTTTCTTAAGCGGGAAAAGTCGGTTGCCCTAATGTACACGTCGTCACTCTCATAAGATAAAGGCCCACGTCATTTTAGCCTTTTTAAGAAAATGAGACAAACCTTTTTCTTTCGAACAATTGACTCGGTTGGACTCTTAAATTCTGGTATACTCAATTGATTTTGTATTTGGGTTTTTTCTTTTGTCCAAGTGAACTGTATACCCGCATGACAATGTATGCTCATGGCACAAGGGCGTGAATCGCGTCTCTCTTCGGAGTTTTGGGATCGCATCTCGGGGCCCTGAAAATCAAGCCAGAAAAATCGGGACCCCAAAGCCATCAATATTATAGCCTACAAATTCTATAAAATCAATGGAGTGCATACTGAACAGAGGAGAATTTTTATCGACTATCTGTCTCGGTCTTTCTTCTGGGATGTCGTATCACTCTCGGTCCACGTTGACCCTGACAGGTAGGGTCGAAGCTTGCCTCCACGATGATCTGTGTCGACGGGTGAATAATAATAAAAAAAACATCCAAAAAGACCCAGGCTACATATTTAGATTTCAAACTTATGAATAAGTACGGACGTAAAAAAAAAGCAGGACAGGACGCACAGGTTCTGTTTTACGTTGCGGGAAAAATCATTTGTCTTTTGAAGAAGTGAACATACGACATGTTAGTGTCAACGCGGACGAGGTTGAAGTGGAGGGAGGTAGAATGGCCTAGTGGTAATGAACAGATTGTGTAACTGAGAGTGGATAATGACTGTGAACACTGAGACAGAGAAAGCCGTATTGTAGGATTGAGTTATTGAGGAGTGAGGTTAAGTAGACTGTTAATGTATATCGTTCGTGCATGGGCTATATATAACAACGTATGCAGCGACAGGATAAAAACTGCTAGGCTTTGGAGATGAGCCAACACGATTTTGGGTGCTTTTTGGGTTCTACTAAACAACACATACGGGCTATCGAGAAAGAAAAGAAAACAATTGCACCAAAATGCCCGACCTATTGGTTAAATTCGAATCCTGCTTAAAGTAAAACGGTATGTTACGGTAATGCAAGGTATGGAAACCCCTTTTTCAGTACAATAATGTTGGGCCGTCGTACGGTCGGAATTAAAAATTAATTCCAGCCCAAGGAGCTTAAAACAAAACTTCCTTGTTCCTGCACAAAACTGAAACCACTTTAGTAAAAAATAAAATTTCTTTAGGCAACCTTCAATATAGGTACATGGCTGCCAGCCAGGCAAAGGATGACTCCTGATGTTTTTTAGTTCTATATAAATAAATAAAACGGCCACATGCGTAAAACCAACCACACGGTTATATATGAAGCTATTAGCCTCAAGTCAGTTACTCGTGAGCTCAGAGCTCGAACAGGGGTACGAGAAGCCATTGATAATAATATACTCAACTGGCAGGATCTTTGCCGTTTAAAAAAAAAAGTTTTGCTTTGAAACAATTTTGCTTTGTTTTTTCTTTTTCTTTTTCTTTATGAAAATGGACATACACTATAATAGTAGCAGTTGACCTACCTGCCCTCAAAAACAAAGTTGACAGTCAAATATAACAAGAGGGAAGGTAAGAAGGAGATGAGCAGAGTCCACCAGTGACGTCTGCTTTCTGATCACGAGATACACACACTGAACTACACGCTCTCTGTACCCTATTATGCGTGACAAGCATTAGTTTTACTGTTTTCTCAACACAGTGTGGAATAATATTTCTTAAAGTGGGAGGGGAAACGGTTGGTGGGGGGGGGGGTGTTCCAAGACGATGTCACAGCGGGCTTAAAGAATGATCCACGTACCTTGGGTATGCTATTCCAAGGTTAAAACACTTGTCAGCTTCGTTGTAACCTAGTGAGGTCTCTTTCAGCGGGGCGCTGACGGTGTACTTTTGTTTCCCTTTTCAAATAAAAACTTTCTTCGAAACAAAAAATGCGAAATGGTATAGGTTTAACGCACCTTGTAGCTGTCATCTGTTAAGTTATTTCTTAACAAAGCGGGTCTAAACGTTCTGCTGGCAGTAAGAAAGCAATGTGTTATCACAAAAAACAAAAACAAAAGCAAGAACAAAAACAAAACAAGCAGTCAGAACTGACACAACTATCTTAATCCATTGCTATATTATTAACAGAGGAAATAGGTGCGTGGCTATTGAGGACAGGGGCCCATGTGGCATCTGCCGCTACCCCATTGACGTCACCATCAATGTCAAGAACGAGCTGACAGACTCGCCGTTTAAGCTGGAGGAAACTATTCGACAAGAGCCACAGCAGACGCTGATTCGTTTCCTGGAAAGAGCGGTTGAGCAAGACATCCAATTCAAGTGAGGACTGAATCCTTTCACCACCTCAACCCCTCCCCCCCCCAAAAAAAAAAAAAAAAACCAACAAAAAAAAATTTTATTTAAAAAATTGAAATTAAGAATTAAAAATTCCCCAACCCTCTCTCCTTTTTTCTTTTTGTCTTATGGTTTTCCAATTTTGAAACATGTAAACTTTTGCTCATAAATACACCCCCCCCCCCTCGCCCCCATAACTGTCTGTCTGTCTGGCTGGCTGGCTAACTGGCTGGCTGGCTGTTTAAATTTGAGTTTTCTTCTTTCCTTTTTATACGAAATGTTACACTCCATCTCTCTCGCTCTCCTTCTTTGCTTATGCGCATATCTCTCTCTCTCTCTTCTCTCTCTCTCTCTCTCTCTCTCTCTCTCTCCCCCCCTCTCTCTCTCTCCCCTTTCTCTCTCCTAGTTTTCTTATCTATTTATCTCCCTCAACCCCTGTCTCTCTGTCTTTCTCCACGTCTCGCTTTCTCCCCTTCTTTCTTTCTCCCCTCCCCCATCCCGGTCTCGTCATAAAACGGGGCACATAACGTACTGCTCATGCTTAAACGCACGCCCGTCTGGGGTTGTTTTTTTGGGAGGTTCTTTTTTCCCTTCGTTTCCCTCGTTATATCGTAATGCCTAACCGGTATAGAGCCAGGTGTCGAGCTGTTGTTCGTTAGGAATGTGCCTTAGCTTTGCTTACCTTCCGTAATGCAAAGGCATCGAGTGGTGAACTGGGAAGACGATGCTGAATAAAGTGGGCTTTCTGGTGTTTACTCCTTTCCCATCAAACATCCACTGTCCTTCCCTCCAACTTTTTTCTTTTTTGTATGTTACTCTCTTGTAACACATTGAATCTTCGGCACTCATTATGACCTGATTGTTTTGAAAGTGCAGCAAAACTTTTACTATAACTAATCTAAAAGCTGAATTAGGGCAGTTTTTACATCGGTCTCTATTGACTGGCAGAATGTCGTAAATTTTGTTAAAAGTAGGGCTTGTCAAGTACGTTGTTGCTGTTTTACTCATTTTGTACCTGCACGGTGTTGACTGGGGGTTGAAATGGATGTATTAGTGAGAAAATGTAATGGAGTGGGTTGGTGTTATTTTTAGACAGATTCATTGATGCTGTCTGGTTTGTTTTTTCCCGGGGG